TCCAGCCAGGGCATGTATGCATGAAGAGTTTGAAGATCAACCCCTGTAACAGGCTAGGTGATTATCTTTCTTTCTCAGGTACGCAAGTTCTCGCTAAGGAATCTCTTACGCGATCGACACCTAGATGGCATCTATAAGCCCATCCTCCCATTACAGTTCCAAATGGCATCTATAAGCCCATTCCCGACAAGGTTCTGTCACATCTCCAGATGGCATCTATAAGCCCATCCCCCTATCCATCATCTCTCCAAATGGCATCTGTAATCCCATTCCCGCCATCACACTGTTGATACTCAACTATGTGAGTGCAAATTTCTGGGCACTCTAGTGTTCAATCATCTTCCACCCTCGGATCACGAAAGGCACACAAGCCTATCTACATCCTCAGGTATAAGAAGATTGAACAGGGGCAACTGTTGTACCCCAAAATTTTCCCTCCCATATTCTTCAAAGTTTTGACAAGCATCACCTCAAATGGCTCAAAGTCTACTCAAGGGCTACACAGTCAACCATTCTCCTAAAGCCAGTCAAATTAGGGTTTTGGTTCTTGCAAGGAAGTTGAAGTTTTAAAGGGCTCAATCAAGTCACATATGCCTATACACATTGTCAAGCACCTACATGTCAAGTTTCAAGGCTCACAAGGTCAAGTTGCACAGTCAAAAACCCTAATTGCTTCACAGTCAACTGTAGGGGCAAAATGGTCATTTGGCAGTCAAAAGTCAAAAAATTTGGTCAACATCTTATTTTGAAGCCACAATCATCATTTGATCAAGTCTTGATCATGATTTCACAAGAATGGCTCAAAAATCATCAAGGTGTCAAAAGTTTCTATTTTTGGACAGTTGAAAAGTCAACTGTAACTTGACCAAGGCATAACTCTTTCATGGTTCATCAGAAAAATCCCATCCAATGCTCATCTTGAAGGGGAAGACATTTACTACAACTCATCTTCACATTCCAAGTCCAAGAAATGCTCTCACAAAAAGTTATCAATTTCAACATTATAGGTCATTTTCAAATGTCAACAAAAAGGCACTTTAAGTCAAAGACCATAACTTGAGATTGGTAAATCAAAATGACATGGGACCAAAGACATTAGTTAGAGGACTTCAACACCTTTCCAAAATGTCTAATAACATGTTCATAGCTTCAAAATTGAGCAAGATATGCATTGGAGAAGTTGGGAAATTTTTGTGAAATGGCCAAAGTCAATTATCCTTGAAACTTCATTTTTGACAAAAGGGGCCCACTTTTCCCACTTGATTCAGCTTGGCCATGCCTCCCACGTGTCCCACAATTTATTTCAAGATTAAAAATTAATTTTTCCATTTTTATTTAATTTCATTTGATTTAATTCATTTTAAATCTTTAAAATTCAAATAAAAATCAAGAAAATTAATGGAGGGATATATTTTGTGTTGAATTGCTTTGATACACCATGAAGTACATTCCAAATTCGTGCAAGACCTATTATGGGCATAAAAATTCAAATTTTCACAAGAATGGAAAGTTGTTTCAATGGAGTTCATGGCATAATCCAAAACATTATTGCAAGGCTTCAATGACCATTATGCTGATTGATACTCATTACATAACACATGTGCAAGCATTCCTTACAGAATTCACGGCCTAGAGAATTCTAAAACAGCATAAGCAATTTCCAACTTTCAAGAGAAAAATCACAAACTGAAAACCTAGTTGCAGTACAATTCAAACTTCCTTGGTGATCCAAACCCGTTCCTTACATCACCAGGAACCCTTTGCAATCATTAACAAGCCAAATCACTCAAGGAATCACTCATCACGCCCCACAGTTTGTTCAAAACTTTGAGAAACTGAATTCCATTTTTACGCATCCTTGATTCATTTTGAACATTGCTATGTATTGCTGACACCATTACAAAACTTTCTGTATGTTTTAATTTCATTATAAGGCTGTAAAACGCAAATCACCATGGGAGATATTTAGGTTTTCCAAAGCTTTCAAATTGGGGTTTCTCACATACAGAAAAATTGGCCCTCAGGACACCCATGGTTGAATTGAGAGGGACAAGACGAATCGAATGCACACCTCGCGCCTAATTTATGCTTCATGAGCGTCTAATCGCTATTTCCATAATACTTGTATTTTGTGGGGGTTTAAAACCCCCGCTATATGTTTGATGTTTACAGGAAAAGCTTGAAGATGACTGCGTGGCAGCAAGGCATAGGTGCATTCAAATCCTGCGCGCGCCTTTTTTGTTTTTCTAGCATATAAATGCATTTTTGTATATTATATTTCTTTTCCATTATATTAACAAACACACGCAGATGGTGGAGTGGTGGTGAACGTGTCATGCAATCTCTGGGACCTGGGTTCGATTCACATGTCCCCTCATAATTCCAATGCTTTTTTTTTCAATGAGTTCTTGTGCAGCATTCCAAGGAGGACTCACAATAAACCTCACAGATCCAAGCAGCCATGTGTCCTTCCATGCAAATCCAAGGGCCCAGAAAGCAGGAGCACCATGCTTAGGAGTCAACAGCGCTCCACTCAACCCAGGGAAGTCAAACGTGGCTTGTTCAATGGGCCACAATTTCAACAATGCACCCTCCATTCCAGCCCACACCCCTTTGGTTTTACCTCTTTTTTATTTTGTTTTGTCATTTTCATTCTTTTTAATTATTAAACTTTTAATTATTTTTATTATTAACAATTAATTTAATTAACATATTTTCATAAAAAAAAAAATAGAACTAACATCATTATTATCATTATTATTTTATTTTGTAAATAAACAATAATTGAATTAGTTTTTAATTAGGCCATTTTAACCTTTTTAAAATAACTAAAATAATTTAGATTTAGGTTAGCTTTTAATTTTGTTTCTTTTATTTTTATTTTATTTCATAAAAAAAACATAAAAAACACAAAAAATATTTTTCTCTTAATTAAATTAATTAATTAGTCATTAATTAGCTTTAATTTCATTTTAATTACAAAAAAGACAAAAAAAAATCAATTTCTTTTCTTAAAAGGGTCAACACCCTTAAGGCATTCCCGATTCTTTCTTTCGCGCGCATTTTAATTGTAATTCCTTATTTTTGGATTATTATGTAACTGCCTCCGGATGTAATAGTAATTAGGACTTTTACTGCTTTACTTTCCGTACTTATTTACCAAAAACGGGTCTTTGTAATTTTTGGCGATGTATAGACCCGCGCCTTGTAATAGCGTAGGATTTATGTTTCCGCAATTTACTTTCTGCACCCCTTAACTGTTAAATGCATGCAAGAATGTATGTAAATAAAATCAATCTGTAGCTCATAAATAACATGTACAAGATAACCTTAACTGAAAAACAACACACAAAGCACATGCCACTTCTAGGGTACGCCTCACTGGTTGCCTCGAACGTGGTCATCAAGTATAGGGTGTCTTAGAGGTCGCCCTTCTGTCTAAAGATCCAGTTGCCTCGAAACGGTTGCCTCGGATAAAAGGATCTAGGACATTAGTGTTACTTCTAAGGTGTCCTACCATTACTTCGGTGACCACACTGTCCCGATAATCGAATTGACCCGAACACCTCCAACGACGGTGCTACCTACCTCTCAATGGTGGGATAGCACTATCTAAAGGACTCTTACACAGCCTAATTCCTTAGAGTAGGTAGATCTCATGGGTACTTGCTCTTTTCAAACAAACAAAAATACTTTTCACACCTCACACTTTCTAAAAGTTTTCAAACAAATTTTTCATACACTCTTGAGGACAGATACAAGAGTTACTTAGAAATTTTCCAAACGAACTTTTTCAAAACCCACACACACTTGAAAAGCAAACAAATTTTTGAAAACATAAGAGCAAGTACCTAAGAGCCCGTGGATAACCACAGATAGAAAGGGTGCTAACACCTTCCCTTTCTATAAATCTACCTCCCGAACCGAGAAACATTCTCGAATAAGGAATTTTGTTGTGCTTTTGTCCTTTCCATGTTGGAGAACATAAAAGACGGTGGCGACTCTTGCTTATCGCGACATTTCGCGAAACCAGCTTAAAAAACAGTCAGTTCTATTCCCATCGATCACAAATAGTATACAAAAAGTTGTGCCTGCTACAGGACTTTAAACAACGTCTTCGAGCGCACGCTCTTTATTTCCTACTTCTCATGATATCTAGAAAGCACTAAAGTTGCTACTCTCATGATATCTAGAAAGCAGTAAAGTGATGAAATGAGATAAACAAGAGGAAATACCAAACAGATATCAATCCATAACAAAGTGTATCAAAACAAAGAAATCCGACGACCTTCACGAAAGCTTCACTAATCAAAGAAAAGAGTCATAAATCAAATGCTCGGAATAAACGTCGAAGCATCATCGATGTGGAAATAAATCAAAATCGAAATCTCGAGCATATCTGTATATCACACAATAAACCTGCATAAGACTCAAATCTTGACAAGCAAAAGTAAGTCACAAAACCTTGGCAACAAAATGATTACTAAACATAATCAATAATAAAAAATTCTAATCAAACTTCTAAAAAAAGAAATCTTAGAAAAATTCTATTATATTCTATTACTTTTTATTGTTTTTTCTCTATTATTTCCATCACTACTTTTTATTAGTAAAACTTGATAAAAAAGAATTAAATAAAAAAATCTAAAAAACAATGAACAGGGGGCATGAATCTGGAAACAAGTGGTGTTGTAGTAAAACCAGGCACTAGGCCCATCAACAACAAGGTCCAGTGAGCTTTTCTTTTGTGCCAAAGAAATTCTGGATGCCAAAAATGGTGTATTGGGCTTTAGGCAGATTCAGTCCAGATCCAACAATATTGTACCATTCACTTTTTTGTTTAAGAATCATTATTTGTTTTATTATTCTAAATAAAATTAAGAACAGTGGAAAGAGTAGCAAGATATCAAAACTCATTGTATTGATAATGTTAGGAGTGAAGCCTGTGTCTTCACGGCTTCTATGTGAATGAAGCTTTTCTCCCTCAGAATTTCAACGACATGGCAAACCATGGCCATCCGCCATCGTCTGCTCAACATCTTCTCCGTCTCATTATGCCAGAGCCTCACTGTCTCCTACTTCTTCGTTCAATTCTGATTGCCTTCACTTCTAATCGATCACTCAGCCTTCTCGTTCGTCATTATCATCTTCACTTCTCAGCCTTCATATCACTCCGAACATATATGTTCGATTCCCTTCGCAATCATTCTGTTGTGATTTATCCCCTCATATTCGAACTCATCTTCGTCCGTTCATTTTCATGATCTCCGTCGCGGCTTCATTGGAAAAAAAGAGGCAAAATCGATCCAAGAGAGAAGAAGATGTATGTTTTGCTTTTAGGTTCCTATTTTCTTCTTCTTTCATTTCTTATGTGAATAATCTTCTTGACTCAGTGTGTTTGTTGTGTTGGAGATGATGCGAATAATCTTCGTTGGATTCGTGAAGCCGAAATTGCTGTGATGATGATGTTGGTTGAAGATTCAGAAACTGCAGTTCAATCGATGCATTGTTGATATTGTGGTGAGTTGTGATTCGAATAGTTGAAGGTGATGATGTTGTTGATTGAAGAGGGTTCATAGAAAGATGAATTAAAGATGATTTTGCATAGATATTGAGGTGAGTTCTTTCTAATTCTTCTGACTGTAAATAGTAAATTTTTGTGATTCTTCCAAAATCATTGAAGAAGCTGCAGAGGAATTTTCTGTTGAAACCTTTTTTCTGTTTTTGTAAGAATTCTGAATCGTGAATAATGAGAGGGAGGTTTGAAGATCGAAGCAGGTTGATGGAGAAGCTTGAATGAAGCTTCAGAAAGATGGAGTGTAGAGATATTTTTTTTGGAGTTTTTCTCGTGTGATTCTTCTGGTGGTTGAAGAATGAAGCTGAGAGGAGCAGAGAGAAGGTTGAAGATGCTTCTGCAGAATGAAGGATGGGGTTGATAAAGGTGAGTTCTGTTTTTTATTTTGTTATTGCTGTTAGGAAAAGTTAGTTACAGATTTTGATTGATCTCAACTGTTGGATCAAAAAGTTAGTTATAGGTTGAATGGAGGAGATTTGAGTCCTCATAACTGTTAGTTATTTGTTCTAGTTTTCTGTTAATTAATGTTGAGCTGGAAGATTATGCGTTTTTGTTCTTCTTTTGCTTATTTTCGATTTTCAAATTTTCTGGTTTTCTACTTTTCTGTTAGTTTTTGACAGTTAGTTGTTTGAAATTCTGTTTTGATTCGGTTATAGTTAGTCTGGATTTTGTTATGGCAGTTAGATTTGTTTGCTTTGAAAACTGTTATTTTGTAAAAACTGAAATTGAGTTAATTTGAAAACGGTTATTGAATGGCAAAGTTAGTTGAATGCTTGTAAATCCGTTTGAACTAGGTTAGAGGAAATTTAATTTGAAATTATGTTAAGTGTTAATTGAAGTTTATTTTAAGGGTTGAAATTAAAACAGTTAGAAGTTAGTAAAAACAATTAGAAAATTAGTTTAGGTCCGCTAATATGGTTAGTATGTGAAACCTGTTAAGAACTGACATTGTAATTGTTTTTATGATATGCAGGGCTACAATTGAACTGTTTCTGACCTAAGTAAGTTAAACGGATCTTTCCCTTGAACCAGTTTAATTGATGTGTGGGCTGGTTTTGTGATTGTTTTTTGAACTGAGTTTATGTTTCAAGTTTGTGTATTATGCGTTTACGTTTTGCAGGTTTTGGTTATGGGAGGAAGCTTTATGGCAAACATTAGACATGGCTTGAAAGATCGAAGAAGAGTTTTATGAAGATGGATTCATGATGGCTAATCGAAAGCGTGGACATGATTTGAGGGTTGGAAAGCTTGAAGGCAAAAAAAGAATAGAGAGAGCATAACATCATTGAAAAGTATTGTAGTTTCTTTATAATTTTCACTTGCTTCTTTTGTAAGAACACAGATTTGTAATGGTTTTTGACATTTTAAGTTTTTTCTTTTCAACCAACAAATCTTGAATGAAACTTGTATGAGCATTTGGCATGAAATTTGAATAAAATAAGTCTTGAATCTTTGAGCTTGCTCATGCATAAAATTGCATAACACTTGAATGCACTTCTTGTATAGTCTTCTCCATAAGCTTCCGTTTTTCTTTTCAATTTGCAATGCTTCAAAGTGTAAAGAGACGATGTAGCTTGCATCTTGAATGAACTCAACTAGAATATCACTTGAATATGCTTCATAAACCTTGTGAGTTTTAAACGATATCTCGCCTTCTTGTTTTAATTCAAGTTCAAAGATTTCACGAAAAATTCATGAAATAGATCATATCTTTAACAAACACCATTTTCACTTACTACATTAACACAATGGTAAAGCCTTGATCAAATTGCTTCCGCAAGTAACTTGAAAGATGGATTTGTCTTTTGATGAAGATGGATGTCTTGGTAAAAGAAGAAATTCCCAATGCTCATGATTACAAACCCTAATTCCTTAAGCTAATATTGATGAAGAAACACATTGAAGAACCCTTGATTAAAGACGAGATCTTCAGAGCCGAAGAAACCCTAATTTTCCAGTTCAACGCTCAAGAGAAACAAACAAATCAGTCTTATTTGATATGTACCCCTCAAAATACTGTGAAAAATCATGGCGTTGCACGCCCACTGAACTTTTGAACCATGGTACGTTATTGAATGCAAATGCATGCTATGTTAGCGGAGATGACTTAATGAAAAGATGTGAATGCAAAATCCTAAGCCTAAGCCAGATAAAAGAAATTAGGAGGGCATATTTTGGGGTGTAACACCTACCCAATGCAACTTCTACCTAGGTTCTTCTTAAATATGAGAAATCGACATCTCACTTCCTAAATCACCTCAGTGATATTTCTATCAATTACAACCAGTTCAGTCAAGACTCTTGACTAACAAACATACTTTGATTTGCTTCAAAGCTTCATCCAAGAACAATACATGATTCATTACCTACAGGCTTCTGATTCTGCATAAAACTATGTCTACCATAATGTATCAAATCAATACAAAGGGTGACTTATAACCCAAGAAAGTACATGACTTTCAAAACCCTAAACCCTTATTTTACTTTTAACTTTGATACAATTGGTTTAGTTAATTTTCCATAGGACTAAGTATTCCTTTTATAATCTTCAAGGTATTGGATTTGAGCTTTAGAACAACAGCTGATATGTTGCATAAAATCAACAAAAATATCTCCTAAATCATAGGACTTCAATCATTAGTTTCCTTGATTATATCCATAATTAGAAACTAAACAATCTTCTAAAATCCAGCTTGAATCTCTTCAATCTTCAAATTGTGCGCCACATAGGATAGTATGATATTTCCAGAATATTCTTCGCATGAAATATATCAATTAAATCCAACTTTCCAGCTGGTCACATGCACGATGTTGAATGGCTCTTTATAGGTCATCTTCATTCGACATGTCTCTCTAATGATGAGACATGTTAGTTCAACACTTTTAAGTTCTTCATATTGAACACAACATATGGTTACCAAATATTTCTAGAATGATCCATATTTGTAACCCACTCACAGAATCCAAACATCCAGTTATAGCAGACAAGATGTCAGATGATCATAATGAGACATCTTGTTCAACATCTAGTTTTACCAAAATTAGTCAAACCTTTAGAGCTCCAATCTTTGGAGCTTTCAATTAATAATGACTACAAAAACTTCAACATGTTTAACTTCATCTTATTGCAGCGAAAAAGCATTAACAAAGTATTCAAATACTTATTTAAAATAAATCATGTTATAAAGAAGTCATAAAATTGCAACATAAGAGATATTATAAAATTTCTAACAAAAGCAGCATAACACTCAAACGTTCGACCCCCAGTGTTACATATCAGAGAAGACACAGACACTGACAAAAGCAATAAAGAAGAGCATTATCTTCTATTCACATCCACACCTTCATTGCGGATCACCTGCACGTTACCCACGTGGAGGCAACACAGAAGGCGCGAGATATCACAATAATATAAAGCAATGCATAATAATAAGTAAGCATCAAATCATTTCACACATAATCACCCATTCAACCAATCATCCTTCCACATAATCCAAACACACAACAACATAACAAGTATGCAATGTAATGAGACTCAACACCATGACTCAATGCATGTGGTACCAATGTGTGAAATCTTAGTTTCACCGCTCCCGATCCCCACCATAGGATCCGAGCACCAAAAATCATTACCATCACCATAGGTAGCGCTTCATCGATTCTTCACCTAGAATCAACTACTCGCACCTAATCCCCACCATAGGATTGAGGCTCACAAAAATGGACCACCGTCCAAACATCCATGATGCATACTTCACCAAATAATATGCATCAACATAATCATGTACAATGATATTCACCCTTGGTCAATGTACTCCGCCAATTCAAGCAACCATGCACCAAACACATGCTATAAACATTTTGCAATAGCAATTAACAGTGTATCAAGCAACAACAACACAGTCACGCATATTCCAAACACTGACATCATACTGTAACATGCAATTACACACCTTAAAACACCATTACACATCATTTAAATCATTTCCAGAAACATGAAACTATTTTTACACAGAAGTACACTGTACCAGCTCTCTATAGGTTCAAACGGCACATCAATTAGATACCTAAAACTCAAGATACGAATTTTCGAAGTTTTATTAAAATTTTGTCAACACAACGGTAATCGATTACACCCCATATGGTAATCGATTACACACTCACATTTTTTCCTGCATTTTCAATGTTTCACAACCATAATTGATTACACCATTTGTGGTAATCAATTATGTCCTTCCCAAAAGCCCAGATTTAAAATAGTTCCATTGTGTAATCGATTACACTTTAGATATGATAATCGATTACACCTTCAAAAATTTCCCAATTTTGAAAGTCATCACAACTGTAATCGATTAAGCCCATACTCATAATCAACTAACACTGTGATAGAAGCAGTTTCCTGCTATGTCAGTGTATGAAAACCAGTCTCTCACCAACTCAAAAACCCCAATTTTCATGAAACATTGAGCATTCAGAATTTACAGGTTCAATCATAAGAACATACATAATCACATCATTCAACACACAACTAGCATACCATCATTTATCAATTGAGTTCAATCATACAAAGGGACAATCACAAACAGAAACAAAACATAGCAACCATGGCAATTCATAATCCCAACCTACAGATTATTATACACCCTTTAGAAGATTGAAACCTCACCCTTACCTTGATATTCCTAGCAAAAGCTCTTAGACCTGTAACAATGAAGTTCTTTCCTCTTCTTCCTCAAGTCCTAGCCTTGTTCTTCACTTTTCTCTTTTATTTTCACGTATTGTTAGTTCTGACATCACTACTTCTTATTCTCTTGTATTATTATTATTATTATTATTATTATTATTATTATTATTATTATTATTATTATTATTATTTCCAACTAATTAAAATAAGTAAATCAAAACTAAATAATTATTTAATCTTATTATTACTAAAAT